GCCGTCGACATATACTGCGCGCGTTAGCGTGCATAGCCAAACTGGTTAAAATTTATTACCCACAATTTATCTAAAGAATTTAATTGGTTCTCACTCAGAGGCAGTGTTACACATCTTTGCTTCTTGAGTGGTTGAATCAAACAAAGTCATTATACTTTTCAATCAATTCATTCGTTTCGAAATTGTATTCTGCCTAGTGGTTGCGAGTTGTCAGGTGGGGTTTGTTTCGTATTTTTGGTTTTGTCACCAAAAGAAAACGGTCAACAAAGGGGAAGGCAGGGGAATGGAGAAGACCGCTTTCACTGAAGAAAATCTACGACTCGTAAAATTCTCGTATAATCAGCAAAACGATTCTGTGGGGGGAAAGGTCGTGGTAGTATGCGCCGTCGACTAATAAACGCCTGTTTTGTGGAAATATACTTTCTGTGTTGGATTTGTCTTATTAGCATCTATGATTGAGCAAAAAAAAGGAAAATGGCAATCAAAATGAAGTCATATTTCAGAATTTTTTTCTGGTGGGGAACAGCTCAAAAAAGTTGTAAGACTCTCGGATTGCAAATGCCTTTGAGCGAAAATTGATCCATGTGAACATCCTAACTTTATGAAATCAGAACTGAGTCTGAAATATCAAATGGAATAGCGAGTTTCTGTTCAAAATTTATCTTACCATCAATAGAAAATAAGTACATTTAGAATTTTTTTCTCATAAAAATGCGCGGATCTTTTTACTAGCTTATTTTTTTTTACATTTTACTTTACGCAGCCTTATACTTTCATTACCTACAGTATGAGAAATGTTCCAAAGTTTAGGTGCGTCGGAGAGGCGTAATATGCTGTGTCCGTACATTCTATTTTTCACTAAATATGAAAATTCATCAAATTCTTTCCTGTCATATTAAAGATTTCTCGAGCACTCCACTACACTTTACTTTATTGTACAAATTTTCTTTTTTGTTATAATTTAATTTATAATTTTGCATGAATGAACAGCATGTTTTTTGAATCTTGTAAAAAATGAGGCATTGTTTTTCTACTGTACGGAAGTATTTTGTGGAGAGAAATCTCGTTTTGATTTTGAAGTTTATTACGAAAAGAAGTTCCGATTCCACTACTTTTTTCGCAGGTTGTCCCGTGTTCTCTCTTAGACCTTCAGGGCCCCCTTATTTCAGCCTTTCGAGAAAGGAGTTATTGTGATCGGATTGTTCGCTTTTCGTGAATTCCAATTTACTAAAAATAGCTTCTTATACGTTTTCAAATTTGATGGAACCTAATTCAGAAGTGAATCGAGGTAATAGAGTTATCAAATACCATCTAACGAAGTGATAGCTCTTACCGTTTGTACTCTGGTCATTAATCAAATTGGCTTCTTTGAAACCTATTTGCTGTTTGAACACGGAACTTTTCTGTTTTCACGTATTTCTCTCGGATGTCCAAATTTTTCAATCAAACAATCGATCAAATTATTAGAAAACACACAAAAAAAATGAGCAAAGAAAGTGAGTGGTCGAATCATTATGCTTAGCAACCCCTACACTTTGTGATAGAAATTTCCCGTACAGAACACCTAATTCTGTTTCCCTGTTTCCATCCTTCTCTTTCATTTTTTTTTCGCACATTTTAGCGATTGGAACATTTCATGCCACCGGCTACTAGGATTCATGAAAGGAAAATCAAAAATTTAAAGGCATCAGCGTTGATCGGGGGGGAATATAATTGAAGTCTTGTATTGCACAATGAAAAAAAAAATATCGAAAGAAATGAAAAGAAAGAAGGAGGGCGTCATTGAGAAGTCCTAGTCGACGTAAGCTCCCGAACAATCAGCTCCCGAACATCATCAACAACATCTCCAGCCGTAAGCGAGCAAAACGGGATAGGTATTGAGTGCGCCTAAAAGGAGCTAGTGTTTAGGTTCTAATATGAGCCATTGATCCGGGGATAGGGATTCAAATGGATCACAGTGAAGTCCCTAAAAAGAAAGTTTGGAAGCTGACTTGGCACCGACAAGAACAACATCTTGCCGACAAACTTCTCCAACCTTCATAGTTATGAATCTTCTAATATTCGATTGATTTCTACATCGTATAACTCGATCGCTTATACTCTGGATAAATGTGTACATTTACTTACCAGAAAATTTCAGTACACATCGCAGGCGACATTCATGACGGCACAATCGAAGTTTCTAGAAATAGCGTTTAATTCTGATAAACGGAAAAAAGTGAGTGATGTCACCTTTTTCTTACCTTACCCTTGTCTTTTTTCCACTCACACAGTTCATAAACCGGTTATCGTCGAGAGTAGGGCTCCAAGTAATGGGATACATAAATTGGAAAGGGGATCTGAGTATGCTCTGACTTTTAGGGTCTTCCCACTAGTCCAAAATGAGAAATACACTTGTTGAGAAAGAGGAAGACCTGTCAAAGTCTGATTTGCATTCCGCTTTCTACAGCTACAACTATTTCAGGTAATAATCGCCTCCTGTCTCGGCTTGGCTAGTGTCGTCCTATTCAAGTATTTTGGCAATAGGAAAGGTACATGGTGGCATTATTGCTGCCCCTTGAAAATGCCCACAACACTACCACAATTTAGGTATTCGCCAGTACTCCCAAATCTCTGTAACATCATCAGAAAAGAAGAAAAAGAAGCGTGCTTTCGATACGAAATTTCTCCGCCAACTGCTTATGCTTTTAAAAATTATGGTGCCAGGAGTGTTCAGCAGAGAGGCCGGAATCATTGGTAGGTTCTTTAGCACATTATCCAAAGAGTACTTCAAGTGCAGAGTAAGCGGCCGCCAGGGAACCCATGAAAAGTAAGCCCTGCCCGGAACCCTACGGCAGGTGGCAAGTTTGAACTCCGCCCACAGTGGGCGGGGCGTGCGCGTTAGAAATTTTAGGTTGCAAACTCATAACTCATAATAATAACATAATAACAAGCGAGCAAGCGTTGCAATCCCCTTCGTGTCAACACTGAAACCTTTTCAATGACGGCAATGTAGGATGTATCGTGGTCGTAGGTACTTTGTAACAGGAACTGATAACAATTGATAAGAACTGATAAGGGGCCTTAGAGAGGAAAAGGGTATTCACGGTCATTCAATAAGACAGGTAAATGCAGCAATAGCGGCCGATCAAAGACATTTCACCATAACGAAATGTCTATATTGTTCATTTCTTACTATTAAACTACGACCGTTACGCAGCAAGCTTTATGACACAATGAAGTACCACGATTCCTTTTTGTTCTGCGGCATATCATTTGTGACTAAACCCATCTGACCGCTAATGATTTGGGATTCCCAATTAATGAAAAATCTGTGGGGAAAATATTCCATTGATAACGACATCTGTGACAGGCGTTATTATCCATTTTTGGGTACCATTCAAGACATTGGTTGTCAAACAGTTGAGCCATCAATGGCAAAATTTCAAGATGAAGAGCAATCAATCGAGACTTCTAATTAGTATATAGTCAATTATTATACAGAAAGATCGCTCCCAATTCGGAGCTAATACTGAGGATGTAGAGCTTCCAAGGAAAAATGAGAATCCGAAGTGTATTTATGCATAGCAAATTTTTTACAAGAAGCAGGAGCGCCCGGCGAAGCCGGGCGACACCATAAGAAGGAGGGAAGCCCGGCGTTAGCCGGGCGGCCCGACTGGTATTTAAATAATGATTTCCAGGTATTCATTCATTGATTCTGGTGTGCCGAACTTTCTTATCTATTTATGTAGCCGGTTTAGAAGGCCGTATAGTGAAAGCTATCGTTCAAAAGGTATATTTCAACTTACTAGACTTGTTTGTAAGACCAAAAATTGAACAAAATGGATATCGTGGTCTTTGCGATTTTCATCGTTTTGTCTTAGTAGTGATCCCACAATGGTCAATTTTCTCGAATCATTAGCAAGTTTCCAAGAATATTAGCTATTTGGGCGATCAGCAGGTCAACCAAATGTGCTGAGCGGTCTTCTCGCATCTCTGACGGCTCCAGACTGTTCTCCCGAACTCCTGATTTACCCACATTTATCATCCAGCCTAATTCGATCTGATCAATTCATAAACTTAGAAATTATACAGATTTCTTATAGGAGTCAGTTAACGAAGTTGGCAAGAATATTCCGTTCCATAGTTGATCTTTGAATTTTAGGATGTAAACAAATTTTCATGGCAACTCTGCAAATGGATTCTGGTTGCACTACCAGCTACCTTCATAAATAGTATGATTAGGTACTTTGAAAGTATCATAGGCCTGGCATTCCGTTCTCGTCTCATACAACACGCCTATAAGCAATATTTTTCGGTCAGTTATTCAATTGAACAGAATGCTTGAGACTTTGAAGGGTTTTCAATCGTCTGGCTCTCAATAAATAGACCGCTTTACACTGTGCTGCGCACGATCATGAGGTGCTATGTGTAATTGAGGCAATGGGATTTCAAAAAAGGGTGTGGAAATTCGTTTGAATTCATCCGCCGATAAAAGGGCTTGAGAGCTCCGACGTGACATCTGCCCTACAACGCTTTTTGAAATGTGAAAAGAACTTAGGCAGAGCCAAAGATAGGTCCTGAGATCTGTAATAGACCTCTCTGATTCTCGTATTACCGGGGAGTATCATTGTTGGATTCCCTTTCACTGAAAATTTCAGACCCCGGCGGTACAGGCCGAATTAGGAGTCGATCTCGAGATGTTCTTCATGTGGTCCAAGAAACATCCCTAGACCTTCCAGAGACCCCCAATACCTCCGCATTTTGGTATTAGGTGTACGAAAAGAACATATACAGAATTTGGGTAATGATAGTAAAAGGTACCCAATAGATGACATTTGTGATTGGCAGTAAGATGGCTATTTGCCATATTCACAGAAATCACTTAGATAGGCAGAGGCAGATACATATGTAAGCTGACAGTGTCCGAGTAAATGTGAAAGTAACACCAAATCTTTATAGTATCTTAGAATGATTTTGCAGGACAAAACCTATTATGCGGTGTCAAACTTGGATAGCCGTCTACAGAATGCTGATCAGTGTCTCACCGAAGATATCACAATGTTCAGTCAGAGTGTCGCCCATCTTTATTCACATCTCACTAAACCGATCCTCGACATTGGCCTCATTTCGTGAGTTATCTTGTATTTATTTCAATTTCTCATTCGCATAGTATCATAGTTTCTCATGATGTAGTAGACACTCCGTGCGCGATATAAACGTTTCGCGCGCGGTGGTCACGATGGAGCCTCTTGACCCATGGCCTTGAAGACCAGGCTTGTGAGGGTCGGATTCTGTAGCGTCGCTGATAAAGCTGATAGAGCTCGAGAACCATAATAAACCAATATTTTTCTAGGTCCATACAGCTTTATTGGATAACAAAAACAGTTCAGTAATGTACTCCCACAGTATCAATTGAGAGTTAGCAGGTCAGGGTTTTCTAACCTTATTAATTGGGCTATTTCGATTATAGGTTCACATTAATCTCATATGCGGCTAGCCGAGGTTCTGCTGAAAATGTTGTTGTGCCGGCAATTCTCGCAATATCTACGGTCGGTCTTACGGCTAGCCTACTGAAATCGATCTCACCGAGGTGAGTTTATTTGAAGCTTATATTTAGCTTGTTTCCGGACACCATTCTTTTTCTTTGATGCAGGAATAGGCGAAGTAGTACACAGGGTTAGGAGAGGCATGGGAGATAGTAAAGCAGCTTGCAATTGGGTGGAGCGTGATGTCAAGAGAATAGCGTATCAACACCACCTCTTTTTCTAGAGTACGGGCCAAGGAATGGAGGTTTTCTCCCTATGTTTCAATGTGGGTAACCCTGCTGTTCTTCCTTCTTTGGACAACTGATCGCTATTGCTCCAACCTGAATATCTACAGCAACTCATTTTGGGTGTGGGTACTTTTCCCCGAAAACCGTCGCGCTTTCCGCAACCGATCGCGCGCTGTTAGGACGAATGTTCAATTTTCCAGTGAAAAGGTACGGTAATCGCAACGGAACCCCTGCCATTTTGCATAGGAAGTCGGGGAAAATACCGGCACCCCTTCATTCCATTATGAAATCCCTATTTTCTCAAAGTGACTGCGGACATTCATCTTAGATGTTGTGACTGTCTGACTTGCAAAAGCGATAAGTTTAGATTTGGACATATGGTAGCCGAAGAGGCGAAACGGAAAGGATTTTTGCGATATCTCCATTCTCGTGTTATTACAAATTCCGAAGAAATCGCATTCTATGGAGGACATGAGGTAGATTTACTGTCAATTTGAATTTTTTTTTAAATACTCTGCAAAATGTGGCAGTTTTTCCTATCGAAAGACTCAATCCACCCAGTGCTGTCAGTCAAATGGTTTGCCCAAAATTTTTTTGATTGTTTAAGGCTGAATACAAGCAACTCAACAGTGCTTATGACAATTTGGCAGACCAGACAAAACTGATATTCCGGAAACGAATCTTGTATATCATGGTTGAGCAATTCTTTATGAAATATGTCTGGTCTGGTACTGGAATGGTTATGATCGCTCTGCCGATTTTGGCTTCTGAGTACGCTACTCCTGGCAGTGAGTAGTACTTTTTTAACCAGCCGTTTTCTTATGTGAATCGTGACTTGTTCACCTATTTCACATAATTTGACGTTCTAAAGGTTATTTCTTCAAAAAATCTAATTTCTGATTGAGATTCAAATTTTTTGAATTTTTTCTACTTTTCGGCAAAGCAGATAATCTTGGAGAGATCTCAACAATCATTTCAGAAACTCGACGTCTCGAAGATGAACCAGATGGCGGTGTGTCAGAGCGAACACGTGGATTTGCTACTGCTAAAAACCTACTCTACTCATCAGCCGATGCCGTTGAGCGCCTAATGACGTCATATAAAGAGGTATGTAGGATAAGACCAGTTTAGCCTGAACATTTCCTCCTACACCTCATTACCCTCTTAAATTGTGAGGGGCCCGAGAATGCTTCCGTAGCCGAAATATGAGCTAGACTGAATAAATAACCCCACCGCATTTAAGGATGGAGGCGATGCGCAAGAACCAGCTTGCCTTCATTGGGTGGTTGTCGAGTTCTACGCAGAATGCACATAGTACCAACCAATGAATGGTGCTCTAGGGCTCCTTGGTCTCCATTAAACTTGCAGTAGGCCTTACTAGTCGTTCCAAAAAATAGACAACGGTTCGAATCCGAAGTTCCACTCCACACGAATTCACCGTGCACCGATCAAACCCTACCCAGTGCCACTGTTGTAGAGCTTTCGGTTAGTCCATGCTGAATGACTCTTTCACTAACGTGATTGATGCCCCTACCTCTTGGGCCTTCCTCCTATCCGTGTCTTAAGCATTTTCGAAGATTCACAGTGCCTTTTTTATCGTTAACTAAGTCCGTCCTAGTATTCCCTTGAACTAACAATTTTCCTTTAGATTCGCAGGAACAGGTGAACGTGCTTTTACCCTATCAGGCTAGTCTGGTTTCAGTAAATTGATTCCCGTAAGGATTTGAATCTAAGCTGAGCGAGGTTCATTCGGGTGTCGATCCCCATACCATATCTGCGATAGTGAAACGCTCGACATTACACCATCAATCCCCTTCTCTTTGTGTGACCATTTTTTTCGAAACCCTAATAACTGAATAATGGATTTAATAACACTTTATTGAGATTAATCGATAATGATTGACAAAAATTTTGGTTTTCCTCAACGTTTGACAAGCAATTGATTGAATTTTGGCAAATTTGTGACTGAATACGCATCTCTAGCCAAAGCGCTCATTTGCGACGCCGTCGGTCGTAGAATCTCTTCTGAGGCACTTTCGATCTGTACACTTTACGTTTAGTACGTTCACCTCGATCATCGGTCCATGCAGGTCGTGAAGATTGCTAAATGTAGCATTAGGGCTGCAAATATTTTTTTGAAAAAGCCCATATAAGTAGAAATCATATCGAGGAAAGGACCTACAGACTGACCTCTGTTTCTGCTTCCGATTTTTCAACTGACGATTTATCAGGGGTCTTTGGAAATGGTTCCTGTCTCTTTTCCGATATAGACTTGTCCACCTTTGGCTTGCCATTATGCGTTCTTTTAACTGGTGATTCTTCCGATGAACTCGAAGCCGATTTGACGGGTGAAGCGTCTTTGGACTTATCCTTTGCCCCTTCCCCAAAAGTGTTACTCAGAAAATCGAACAGCATCTTAGTAGTCGATGTCACTGCACTGTCTCGACCTTTTTCATTTTCTACATGATCCTTTGATTCAGCAGCTTTTCTAGTGTCTCCTTGTCTTTGAAGTTGCCGTTCCCTTTGACGTTTTGTCAATATATTTCCTCCCCATGCTATTGGGACATATTCAGGATGAAGGAGAATACAGTCGAGTAGAACCCTTTTCGCCTAAATCAGGGTTTATAACAAGGAAAATTCAGGCCATATTGCAGGAAAGGCTAGTTCGTGATGGGAATGGTTGTGCGGCCCATTCACTGTGAACGAAATTTGACCATTGAATAGTCGATGTCTGGCGTTGTCCCCGAGAAAAGCGGCCGAAATTGGAGGACTGACAGTTCGAAGCTTGGTAATCCAGCCCATCAGGGACCAAGGGTGGGTGGAGGGTAAGAAAGTGCAAGCCTCCCTGTACCCTTTTCAGATTCATCGAGAACAGAGAAGTGAGTTAACATTTTGTGATCCGTGCAGGACCTTTCTAGGTCAATCAGGGACAAAAGGGGGATGGTGCAACCGGACCTTTTGCCCTCGCTAAGCCTTTTCTGGGATGTTCCCCTCGTGACAACGCCACAATCGCATCCTCACAGGTCAAATCTTTTCAGTTAGAAATCTGCAGATCTATTTGGCCGGAAAACTGATCTTCAATGACCAGTGGCGGTATCGTTGATATACCGTCGTAGTTCTTACCTACTGAGGGTATAAGTAAGTAAGTACCTTGGAACTATCCAGCAAGAATAACCTAAGCTCATTGTCTACGACATCCTCAAAGAGATCTGGTCGCATGAGAAGAACTTCGATACCATAACCGAACGCTCTGTCGATAAGCATTACAATCTGCAATGAAGAACCTATCGTCATCCTTCACAGAATGCTTCCCATTCCTGAAGAAATGAGTACATCGCTCACCGTTTCGTTTGGCCTTGCATTTTCTGCTTCGAAGAAGTTCGCCAGAATCCTTGCCTCTGCAGGTTTAACGATTTGTTCAAGAATCTGATTCCGTTTCATGATGGCTAGACCTCGCAGTGCTACCGCTTCTTGCTCCGGTGACTGAAATGAGGACATACTACCGTATGAAAGCTCTGTAATACTTACACCTAAAGAAATAAACCAAACCGGTTTGTCTTCGTCGGCTGACAAGGTCCCCCTTCGGTCTTCACTCTCGGACTTTTCTTCTTCGACAGTCTTCTTGGCTACCTTCGTAGTGTCACAGTGCCGCTCCAAATGCTTTATTCGTTTGCTCAGATCGCTTATTTTCTGCAAATTTTTCTTTACAGCTAATAATCGAATTTTTTGTGAGAAGTCATCAGCAATATTGAACTTCAAAACCACACACAAATCCCATTAAAAGGATGAAGGATGCAGCTTTTTCGCGTCGATCATTCCCATGTTTGTCTGTGCCCTGGAACCCGACTTTGCTCCAAATCGCAATTTTTGCATAGGTGTGAGGCCTAAACAATGACTCGCTGTGGCTAGTCCACGTATAAGTCGATCCGCAGACAGGTACGTTACCAATTAGCCGACCCCGGGGTATGGGACACTTCGTTAAACTAGGCTAGTATCGATCCAGGATTCATTTCCTGAACTATGAGGGTGATAGTGCGGCATATGGAATTCACCACTCATACCCGCTACTGGAATGAGCCCCATATCTCCTCTGAACATTCTACGTTCGATGTCGACCGATGATTTGGTTCACTGGGCTGCAACTGTAGATTCGGATGTATTAAGACTCCACGAGAACCTTTTCCCTGCGATGAAGCCTCGCTCGCAGCTTCTTAATAACGGAGACAGATTTGCGATGTGCATCTTCCAGCTGTCCAACTCGACTGAGAAGTGCATGGATTTCTCGCAGAAGTTTTTCAATCCGTTCCTGGAAAGGGCATAGTGAAGCCTCTGCTAACAAGTCACCTCCTCTCGAAAAATCAAGCTAACTTGTGGTTTTCCTTGCAAGTTCGCCAGCTTTTCAATGCTTTTTGACTGAAATGGGCAGAGTTAGGAGACGACAGATGCGGGCGTCAAATCAATAAATCGATTCTCCCACCGTCGGTGGTTTAACTTCCTCGTTACTTAGCTGCGTAGAATCCAACTCTTCTGAGCCTTCTTTTTCCAAAATCGTCTCCTCACCACCAGCGGAAGTGCTGAAATCAAGGTTGAAGGTCCCGTACAGGCAGCGCTTGATGTTTGTGAATGCACATACTCTGCTGAACTGAATGATGGTTCTGTTTTGGTCGCACTATCGCTAGACGAATGCGATTTTGCCTTCTCAGGATTTTTCCACCTGAACAGATTACTTTGGAATTGTGGCAAGTTATAAAATGAAGAAGGAATGGACCTGAGTTTAGCCTTCCGCATTTTCGTCGCTGCAGGTCGGAACTTCGCATTCACATTTTCGAACTCTTCAGCCTCAGCGTCTACGGATTTTCGTTGGAAAAACTAAATTGGTCATAAAGTCTAGTTTCAAAGGCTGAAGTGGTTTGCTTGTATGCTTGGGTCCACATCTGATCGGTGGTAATAATGGACAAGGGATGATACTCATAGTTGACAGTCAATTGGCTACACTTATTCCAGTTGTAATCAATCAGTTTGGGCTTACTAAACTTTAGTTGGACATACTTCAACTTGATTCGGAACCCTTGAATGATTGGGCAAGGTGTAAGAGGCTCTCAGGGGTTGTCCGATTTTCGAACGAGACCATTGCCATATCACCGTGGATAGTCGGCTGTATTGGCCTGTTATTTCGACTTACCTCCTCGTCCTTCTTATTGATGCCTGAAAAGTCATGCCCTATGGTAGTTCTTATTGAGTTTAATCAATCAATTGAGAATACCGTATTTTTTCCTGATTGCACGCCGTTTTCTTTCTGATGTCGAAAGCTCCACATTAGACGGAGCTTCCTGCTCCTCTTCTTCACCCTGCATACGATACGGTTTTGTATAAGTTCATGGAGTGTTCTGGTTGGAAGAACAACATTTTGACTATGTATGCTTCTATTTATATTTCGCACTTTGCCGAGTCCCATTTCAGCTCCATCCATTTCAATACCCCCACTTCCCTTCCCTAGTATAATACATTATGCCCCGGAATCAACCGCGCAGCAGAACAACTATCTAGAAAGCGTCGCGCATTGCGAGGGGATCGAGGATAAAACCGCAGGTTGCTGTTCCTCTGACTGCCTAGACTAACTCCTTGGTTTTTTCCCTATAAGATGTCAATCTTACAGACACCCACCTTTGGGAGTTCCTTGCTGGAGCCACAGAGCTATGCCCTCTAGAGCAATTGGCACTAAATTTTGCCCTGCATCCAACACCTACGATCTTGGAACTATAGGGATATTCTGGGTAACTAGAGTTTTCAGAGGTGTTGGTTGTTTTATCAGTATAGCAAAAACTGTCGGGAACGAATCACAATCAATCGGGCTTCTCGAAGTCACTCACCCCTTCTTTTGTTTCTTCATTGCTTCCTGCAAAAAAAAGCACAAAGCCATTCTCCAAGGTATGTTCACGTAAATAGTAAAACACAGTATGAAGTGACAGACCTTGCTGCCTTTTCTGATGAACCCTTTTATAATCCGATCTCGGTTTGGGTGACGGTGTTGGTGATGGTGATGGTGATGATGAAGGTGATGGTGACTTGGCAACTGGTGATCTAGTAGTTTGCACTTGTACTGTCGAACGCCTCTCAGCAGGCCGTTGTGATCCGACGTCTGGGGTAGCTCCTTCCTTCTTAAAAAGTAGGGGTGGTTAACATTTGAGAATTGAAGAATTCCTCAAATTAACTCATCTTCTAGCAAGCAGTATTACGGTATGTTTGAGACAAACAGACTGCGATCGGTTGGGGAAAGGGGCGAGGGAGTATCAGCAAACTTCATGACAATGGAATGGATTGCTTAGCGCAATCCATCCTCTTGATAAGTATTCCTAGCGCGAGAATATCATGCCCAAATGGGCCTGTGGTGCGAGTCAACTGTTCAAGCAACCAGAACATAGGGTGCTGCGAGACAACTAGCCAGCAATTGCGACCCAATGGATAAATTGGACGTCTCGGCCTTCTTCTAAGAATCTTACCGGCTAATCACATAGATGGCATACTGCTTCCACACTAACAACCGTATAGGATATTTACAATCAACCGGAATGTAGCTGATAACTGTTTGATAATAACTTAATGGCATGTAGTTAGTGTAGAAGCAATGTGTTCCTCAACGATCGGTCGGTACGGCAGACACAAAAATCTTTAGTGACACTGAAAGAGGAATCTCCAGGTTTTGAAGTCTCCACTGAAGTTTTTGCAAGGTTATGTCGACTTTCCAGAGCTTGTGAATGGGAACCAGGTAAGTGGGACAAGGAATAACCGAGGTGATTCGGGATTTGTGTTCGTCTGGGCCTTGGTATGCTGAGCTTGTAGCTTGGAAAGCGAATCTCAGCTAGATGAGACCTCAGACTCACCGATTTGTCAGTTCGTTTCTTCACGCGCTGGAAAAAACGGAACATTTCTCTCAGACGTCTGTTCTGATGTAGTTCTTGATCCATTTGAACTATTTATCTGAAACGAACATTTCCTTCATGTTTCAAGGACTGTGATCCGAGCATAAAGAATCGAACCAGACCAAGCATGAGACCAGAATTTAGAGAAGGGACGATGAAATAAATGAGACTCACCAACAGGCGAGGAAGTATACTACAACTGATACCATTATATTTTCCCAAACACGAAAACAGGAGCATCAGTAGAAACTGAACTTACTGTTAGCTCAAATTTGTCTTTATCCCTTCTCAACCAAACCGTTGTGGTCCCAAATGACTCGGTATGACATATGCTTGCAAGGGTTGCCGCACACATTTCTTCGAAGCTGGTTGCGGATCTCTTCAACTGACAAGCATTTTGATAACTGACATTTTTGGAAGGTTAACNCCCTAGTATAATACATTATGCCCCGGAATCAACCGCGCGGCAAGACAACTATCTAGAAAGCGTCGCGCGTTGCGAGGGGATCGAGGATAAAANAATCGAACCAGACCAAGCATGAGACCAGAATTTAGAGAAGGGACGATGAAATAAATGAGACTCACCAACAGGCGAGGAAGTATACTACAACTGATACCATTATATTTTCCCAAACACGAAAACAGGAGCATCAGTAGAAACTGAACTTACTGTTAGCTCAAATTTGTCTTTATCCCTTCTCAACCAAACCGTTGTGGTCCCAAATGACTCGGTATGACATATGCTTGCAAGGGTTGCCGCACACATTTCTTCGAAGCTGGTTGCGGATCTCTTCAACTGACAAGCATTTTGATAACTGACATTTTTGGAACTTTTTGGAACTTTTTGGTTAACTTCTGAAATCATCCGGGTTACCTACACCAACCTTACAACATGTTATAGGTTATTCAGTACAGAGAGAGTCGAACTAGCCGGCCCGATAGGCTGAATCCACTGCTGAAGTCTCCCCCCACCCTGGGAGGTCAACTCAGTTCGTCTTCAACGAAAATGGTAGAAATGTTTTAAAACTTCCAGGTTACTGAATTAGCTGGTTACACTTCTCGAGTACACGAGATGTTTGAAGTGTTCAACGACGTCAAGAAAAACGTCTACCGACGAACGTTAGTAAGCGGCGAGGAAGGCGAAGCTAATCGCGGAGAACGCATGGACACGTCCCGGATCGAAGGTGCGTCTATAAATTAGCATTAGAATTCACCAGCCAAATGGATAACGGAATCCATTCTTTTTTGACGGGCTATCTTTGCCTCCAGGGGTGCAGCAGGAGAGTCGAGCGTCACACTAATCGCTAAGGTCTGTCGGCAGAATCAGCTTGACTTGTTTGGGCTCTCCCTCAGTTCAGTGGTGTTTGATTGATGCTTTCTCAGGAGTACTTCTGGAAAATACGGAAAACAGTCAGAGGGAGCTGACTAACAGAAATTGATTTTTGGCAGCAGGACAACTGGCTAGGAGTCGGCATCGGTCGCCGACAAGTCGGATCTCTTTTCCCTCACACGTCCTCCCTTCAAGAGACGAATCGCTATCCCTTGTCGTACACACAAAAGAAGAGTATCAGAACAAATTGTCAATTCATTGGATTTTTAGGACAGGTGGTAGTGTCTTCTGACGACGCCATTATCCTCGAAGATGTCCCAATAGTCACGCCGAATGGAGACGTCGTAGTTAAGAATATGTCCATAGAGGTAGTCCGTTCTCTGAGGATTATGTAAATTACGAACTATATGAATAATCATGAAATTTGAAAGAATCAATAATATTTAGATCAAACCCGGAATGCATACGCTCATCACGGGGCCCAATGGATGCGGAAAAAGTTCTCTTTTTCGTATATTGGGTGGTTTGTGGCCCGTATATCGAGGAAAGATCAGACGACCACGACCTGAGCGTATGTACTACATCCCTCAACGGCCGTACATGACACTAGGAACTTTGAGGGATCAGGTATGTTCGACGCAAAGATTAGTAATCGAGTTATGCTTATGAAGTGAAATTCATGCCAGAGATTCAAACAGGAACCATGGTTGTAATGTCAAATGGCTGGGACCGTTTTAGAAATTGGATGGGGTAAATAGGAAAGGGTAGGACGTATAAAAGAGGTAGAAGAAGTTCCCGTGTGAACAGGCAGTCATGGGCTAGAAAATAGAGAGAGGCACTGCCCGTGCAGGAACTGGCACGGAGTACATCTCAAAACTTTGTAAGAGCGGTGATTCTTGACAATTTTTCGATGCATACGTTCGGGTTGCCATGATCTTCGATGAATTGCCCTCATCAGTTGCTGAGGAGAACGGTGAATAACTTTTTGCTGGGTTTTCAAAAAGTCAGGGGGGAGGAAGGGGAGAGGGGAATGACAGACTTCAGCGACTTCATATACAATTAACGAACTTTCACGAAACAAAAGGATTAGTCGGTTTAATTTCAGGTCATCTACCCGCATACAACGGTACAAATGCGTCGAAATGGAGTTACTGACGCAGATCTCGCCCGTATCCTTGAAACTGTTCACCTCTCCCAAATAGTACAAAGAGAAGGAGGTATGATTTTTGAATTTTATGTTGATTGTAATGAAAGTTTGTACTGGCGAAGACCTCACCGACCTCATTCAACTGCCCTATTTATAGTTGTTTGTGTTTATATTTATATGGGTTAGATTGGCAGCCATATCCTAGTCTGATTACGAGCATTGGTTCTAATTCGTATTATCAATTTCCATTCCTATTTTCACTCATCGGATCAACTCTGTGAACCCTTCGATCAAAAGCCGATAGTTTTAATCGATATCGATCGACAGATATCAACTCGAGGTCACACACATTTCTGTACAATTCACTTGTGGATGTTAAGGTTGGAATGCACAGAACGATTGGATGGATGTGCTGTCTGGTGGAGAGAAGCAACGTATGGGATTGGCCAGAGTATTTTACCATAGGTGAGCGCATATAGTCAAAAGTTCACGATCGAGTTTCGCTTACTTATTAGTAAGTAGTGTTGCATGATCAGCTGAGTCAGTCCAGAAGCATGCCCAAAACTTTATCTTAGCCTACGCACCTTTCCCGCAGTTGCTTATGTGGGTTTCAGTCCTAGATTCGAGCCTGGGTGAATTTCTGCTGTAAATCTGTTAATTGAACTAAGGTGAGATGGTTCGTTTACAGTTTTGGTAGTTACACGGAACGACTATCCGAAATCTACCGGGTACTCACCAAGGCAACGAATAAAGCATGCCCTTTAGTATCATTTGGCTCGGCTTCTAACAAGGAAGGTCTTTCAGGGCG